ATTAAAATTGTCAATTTTTATTATAATTACAAAAAATACTGAAATCCGAACAAAAACAGTTTCACTGTAAAAAAAATCGCGCCAAGTCCACGTTCATAGGACTATTAAAAAAAAAAATTTTATTTCTTTACAAAAAGATATAAAATAAAAAAATCCAAGTAACCGATATGCCCCAACAATCGGGATCGAATAGAATCGAATAGAACCTCCTATTCAACTGTATTCGATTCAATCCAACTTGTGAAACACCAGTTTTTCTATTCGTTTCAATTCGATTCAATCCGAAAGACCGAACAGAAAAAATTTTTTACCAATTTTGAAACATTCTTCTATATCGACTGCTAACTTCTATTTTTTTCTGTGTTTCTCGAGAATTCAAATTATAAATGATCTAAATTTTTAAAAATATTTGAATATCTCATATTTTAAAGCGATTGAAAAATTTTAAATATAAATTGAAAAAAAAATAAAAACCAATAAAAACTTAATTATAATTGTTCATTTTTATCATTTATAATAATTTTAAATAAAAATAATTTAAGCGTTGAACGTAATGAACAAATGCGTTTTTAAGCAATAAAAAAATTATTTTAGGTAATAATTTTTTTTTTTTAAATCATTATTTGTTTCAAAGATAAAAATTCCATAAAAAAAAAATTTCAATTATCCTATAAACAACGCATTTGTTTATAATAATTTTTTAAACAATAGTAGATGAAAATTAAAAAAAAGTTATTTCTATGCAGCTTTTGACTACATAAAAATGGATCAATAATATTTAAAAAAAAAAAATTTTTTTTCGACGATTAATTAAAGTTTTTAATTTCGAAACAACGAAATTTATTAATAAAAAACTGAAAAATAAAAATTTTTCAATTTTTCCAACGGGAATTTTTTTTTAAGCCTTCAAAGAATTGTTTCAAGAGAGGAAAAAAATCTCAAATTTATAGTTTAACAATTATTACAGTTGCAATGTTCATGTTCAAGCAGAAAAAAATTATTAATTAACTATTGCATAACTAATTGAAAATTGTAATCAAAATTTTTTTCAGGCGAAATATGGTTCATTTGTCTATCCAGTAAGACCCTGAATTTTTCTATTTCTTCAATTTTATATTCAACATGTTAAAATAATTTTTGTTGATGAGTGTCCAAATAAGTGTGGCTTACGCAAGCCAGAGCATCCGTTTTCGTCCCTCTGGGAAAATTATAAATATTGGTCCTACAGTTTCGGGAGTCGGAACGTCTTTTCAGGAAATTTCCTCTTCTTTTTTAATCTTTTTTAAAATTTTTTAAACCTTTATTAGTTCTTAAGATATTTGCAAAAAAAAACTCCACCTTTTTTTAAGTTAATTGTTAATAACTTTTGTAATTTTTGCAAGTGGAACTTCATTTATTTCAAAAATAATCTAGATACCATTCCGAATCGAATGATACCTGAATCATAATTTTCGGAGACTGCTGAAAAAAGCTGACCAAAAAGGCACATGTTGACTAGACTATAAGTACTTTTTAAAATTAAAAAATCTTCATTTTGGAAAAATTTGACCGTTTATGACAGGACTTAAAATTTATTAATGGTGGGTTTACCATGCATAATTAGAAAGAGGATGCTTCCCAAATTTATAATAATACACACAATTCATCTTTACGCTAATTTTATTATAAACATGAATCAACTGGACTTCATGATTTTCGACTAGAGTTGGTACATTACAACAAATATTTTAATTGGGAGAAAATTTTTTTTTTTATTTCTGCATGTTTCATGCGAAAATACGTTGAATCCTCAAAAGAAAAATTCTCGCGATCCACGTCGGATGTCATAAGGACATGAAATAAAAATTTATTTTCTTTTTCTAAGATATCATGTATAATCTATTAACCTGTAGAGATGACATAATCTCTTTTTTATTCCGCAAAATTTAAATAACCATCAAATGAATTTTAATAACAATAACTGTTTCTTCTTTTTTTTTTCTGTTACTCTAGGGGCCATGTTACTTTTGCACATCTCAACGCGAAGCATTTGAGTAGTACTTTACTCTTATTCTCTCAAAGTTAAGCAACTATCTCGGCTTAAATTTCTTGTATCTTATCTTTTGTGCAATTTGAGTATTAAGGTATAAGCCCCAATAGATGATCATGTACCAGTATTCACAAATATAGATATACAAATACATGGTGTGATCATGTACTGGTACATAAGCATCGATTGGGTTTTTACCCTAAATGAGATGACAAATTTCAACAAAAACATTTTTTTATGACAGTAGACATAGTCTATAGTCAAGAAGTGAGTTCTGCGAAAAATCGTTAGCCTGCTCTTAAAAATATGGTGATTGGTGCATTGGATTCAGAATTTAATTCTGAGAAAGAGGTATTCTTAATTTATCCGCTGTTAAAAATTTAATTTGTTATAAACAAAAAACAAAGAGAAAAAAAGGGTGTCTTCGTTTTGTAGCTATATCTTCGAAAATATTCAAGATGTCTGAAATTTGAAAAAAGATCCTAAAAGAGGAGAAAATTTTATTAAAATAAGTCTTTACTCCTGGAGTAATAGCTCTATTATTTATGATTTTAATTTAACGTTGAAAGTTGGGCTCCATGCGGCCGTTTCGGTGCCTAGGCATTACCGCCAAGCAAAGTATTCAACACAAAATAATGATTTTATAACATTCAATATTAATTTAAAAATCTGAGTAAATTATGGTGTCAACTAGACACTTGAAGGAATATAGTCCCGTAAGAAAAAAAATTTTTGGCTTGATTTTTGTTTAAGTTATTTAATTGTTAATTAACTAATTTTTCGTAGACTTGAGTTTTCAAAAAATCTATTACAAAAGTTTAAAAAGTGAGTCTATAAATTTTTTTCCTTTTAGGAGGTCTTATTATATAAATAATGAACAAGATTCCATTGTAAAAGTTTAAGAAAGTTTTTTCATTTGCTTATAATGATTTTTCAAAGTTATCAAAAATTGAAATATTCGGTTAATGTTATGAGAAACATAGTTTTTTGTTTTTTAAGTCATTTACAATTCTCAATATAATTATGAAAAAAAAAATTTGTTTTCATTTTAATTTTTATTGTTTATTTTATGAACAATTTATTATGAACAAATTTCCATTTTCATTTTATTTTTTTTCCGTTACTTTTAAAAATTAAAAATTCAGCCATGTGCATCAGATTTGTAAAAAAAATTTTTCTCTACTTTTATTGAATTTTAAAATACTTTACCTCATCAAAGTTGAAACAGTCAACTATTTTATCAACTTATAAATTGTTGTAACTTCTAAACTATTGATGATACGGTCTTGGACATTCAGGAAGATCTTTTAGACAATTTATTGATTCATATAATAAATTTTTCATATGATCGATATCTATTATAATTCAATTTTTATAACCATTTGTTCATAAAATAATCTAGAAAACGGTTGACCCTAAAGGCACATATTTAATCTATAAAATTGTCCTGAATCATTAAAGCTGTAACTTCATTAGTCTAAAAGATAAATTTATTAAACTTATTAAGTATGAAAATTATGATAAATTTATCAAACTTATTAAATATGAAAATTAAAAATTGAAAAAATTCAGGCGCCTGCGGGATAGATCAATGAACAATAATACGTGGTCAAAAAATTTTTATCGTGATTTTTCAATAAGTTATCCATTAATTAATTAACAATTTTTTGTAGCACGAGCATTAACATTGCAAGTGCGATAATTGTTAAACTATTAATCTAAGAATTTTTTTTTTCGTGGAGCTATTTTTCAAAGGTTTTAGAATAGATTCCCGTAGAAAAAATTAAAAAAATGTTAATTTTCGTTTTGTTATTAACAATTTACTAAGGTGAAAAATTATAAAGCTTTATTAAACATTGAAAAAAAATTTTTTTTTATAACATTATTATTGATTCGTTTTCTTATGATCAGAAGCTACTTAAAAATGATTTTTAATCATTTTTATCACCTATGGTTAAAATAATTGTTATAAACAAATGCGTTGTTTATGAGATAATTAAAAATTTTTTTTTGATAACATAATCTTTGATAATAATTATGGTTTAAAAAAAAAAACCGTTTCTTAAAAAAATTTTTTTATTACATAAAAACGCATTTGTTGATTAATTAAAAATTATTTTCTCCCACTTCTAATTAATATGAAGGAACGATTTTTTTTAAAATCATTCTTTATTTTTTATTTTATATAACAAAAAAAAATTTTTTTTTTATTTAATTTTTTTTTTAATTTTTAAATTTACAATAAAATTTTTTCTAATTTCGGAAAATCATATACAATCATATCGGTTTATCGGTTACTTGGATTTTTTTATTTTATATCTTTTTGTAAAGAAATAAAATTTTTTTTTTTTTTAATAGTCCTATGAACGTGGACTTGGCGCGATTTTTTTTACAGTGAAACTGTTTTTGTTCGGATTGAAGTGTAATTGCAGCGAAATTTGATGTCAAGTTAAAACTACTCTTAACGTCGATATATGCTCGATCTATTATTAAATGTATTAAAAAGAAGTATTTAAAAGTTTTCGAGATCATTCTTATCATCAGATGTAAAAGATGATTTTCTTACCATATCAAAATGAAGAAAACAATTGATGTCAAGCTGACGTCAAGTCAATCTGGGTGGGCACGCAAAATGGAAACTTACAGGAATTTAAAATTATCAAACTAAAAAGCATAAATAGTGCAATTTTGTTGTGATTTTATTCGCAAAAATTATTTAATAAAAAAAAATAGATAATAAAATTTTTTTATTCCAATTTTTCTACAAATCCACTACTGAATGGTGGCTCCACTAGTTACACAAAATTGCACACACTCAGCACCCGGTTTAATTCACAAGGATATATAACCATTCATAACCTTTATAAAGTAAAAACAAAAATTCTCGATAACCAACATAGATAACTAATCTGAAAAATTAATTCATTTGTTATTTTAAATCTGATATAACTTGGTTTGTACAAAAAAATCTGAAAACATGGAGGAGATTTTGGCAAAATTATTATTAGCTGACAATGAGGCAATTCATCAAGTATGTAGAATGTTGTATATTTTTTTGAAGTAATAATTAAGTTTCAACACGTGTTTGACTAACTTGATATACATGCTAATATATAAAAATGCAGAAAAAAAAATCTGATATTAATACTATCAGACAGCTGAAAAATTCTATAACTTTTCTTAACGAACAAATTTTCATATAAAAACTCTAAAAGTGAAAATTAAAAAAAAATTCTGATTGTGATTTTTGAATGATACTGAAATCATCAGACGACTGATAATCTTCAATTTTTTTCATTAATTAAATTAACTAAAAAACAATTTTTAAAAATTGCACTCATGGTTTTTCAAATTTTCTATAATATATATTTTTTTCCTTTAATTTTTTTAAAAATAATTTTTTCAATGAGAAAAGTCATAAAAATTATCTCAAATGTCTGCTAATTTTATTTTTATATTTTTTGATGATACTGAAAATAATAGACATTTGAAAATCTTGGAATTTTTTTAACAAATCAATCCTTATAAAAGGTTTCAGAAAAAAAACATCAATTTAAAAATTTGAAAACTGCAAATGTAAATTTTCAAATTTTTTTCTTAATATTTATTTATTTTTTACGTAAAACCTAAAAATTTTCAAATGTTTGTTGATTTCAATATAATTTTTCAAAAATACTTTCTTGATTTGTTTTGTCAAATAAAAAAAATGATCTTGTATCTGCTAATTTCAAAATTATAAAAATATTTTCGCTTTGTTTCTGATTTTTTTTTTTTCTTCATTATTTGATTACTACTTATAAATAACAATTTATTACAATTATCTATGAATTTAAATACTTGGAATAATTTTACATATCGTTGTTTTTTATAGGGTACAGCTCAACTTCGAGAAGCTCTGAAAAATCCTGAAAGTACATTGGTGTTATGCCAAATAATTATTTCGTCAGCTAACCCAGCAGTAAGAAACAAATAAATTTCTGTATGAATCATAATTTAATATTTTTTTTCCTAATTCTAATACTATTAATTGTTGCAGATAAGACATTATGGTGCCTTACTGTTAAGAAAGCGGTATACCAAGACAAAATATTGGTCCAAATTACCAATAAATATAAAAAACGAAGTAAAATCCATTTTACTCCAAGGTCTGGTTAATGAAGCAGACAAAAGTACAAAAACAGGAATTGCTCAACTGATCGGTACGATCGTCAAACATGAGCTACCAAACAATGGATGGCCGGAGCTGTTCCAATTTATCCAGCAACTTGTGTCTAGTGCTAATATAATCGAAAAAGAGTTGGGAGTATTTACTCTAGCACAAATGACTGAAATTGCTCCGGAAACTTATACAGCGCATTTAGATTCACTAGCCGGTCTTCTAGTTCAAACATACAGCACCTTACAAGATTTGGGTCATCCTATTGCATATTATATCATTAAAATAATGATGTATCTAGCATCGTTGGTTGAAGGGAATCAAGCGATGGTAAATGCATACAATCAGATGATACCATTGGCAATGGGTACTATTCAATCGTTGTCTACAAAAGAACCCGATAAGGCCCAAGAGGCGATGGAATTATTTGATGATTTATGTGAACAAGCTGTAACTCTCATATCTCCTCACGCAAAAATCTTTATCCACATGTGTCTGACGATCGGAGAAAATAAATCGCTGGATGATATGCTGAGAGTACGTGCATTAGGATCGCTAGCTATTATTATAAGAGCTAAACCACGATCCATTATTAAGCATAAATTAATGGAGCCAATTGTCGATACCGTTTTTCGAGTAATGTGTTCACCAGAGGATGAAGAGGATGATGAAGATTCTAATGATGATAATCCAACATACACTCCGGTAACTCGTGCAAGAGAAACTTTGGTTGTAATGGCAATACACCTAAAGTCTGAAAAATTAGTTCCACTTTTACTTCGACACGTAGAACCGGGTGTACAAAGCGATGATGTCTGGGTAAAAAAAGCAGCATTTTTAACTGCGGCATCACTAGCTAAAGGTTGCTCTGAGTACATAAGATCTAAATACCTTGAATATTTTCTCAAATGTATCTATCAAGGTATCAAGCATAGTTCTCATATTGTTATGAGTGCTGCACTTTATGCTTTGGGTAAATTTTCTGAGTATCTCCAGCCAGAAATCAGTCAATATTCTCAAGAACTTTTGCCTGTACTTTTTGATTATCTCAGTCAAATGTGCGTACACATAAAACAAGAAAAATCTCAACCACCAGCAGTCGATTGTATGTTTTATGCACTTGAAACTTTTTGTGAAAATCTTAATGATGGAATCTTGCCGTACCTTCCAATTTTAATGGAACGTTTATTTGAAACATTAAGTATAAATGCTCCAAATCATATTAAAGAATTGGCTCTAAGTGCTATTGGAGCTGCAGCAAGTGCTGCTCAAGAACATATGGTTCCATATTTTCCAAAAATCATCACAATTCTTGATCCTTATTTCACAATGGTACCAGATGACAACACCATGAGCTTACAAGTGCAATCAATTGATACATTGGCTATTCTTATACGAACAATTGGAGAGGAAAATTTTGCGCCGTTAGTTGGAAAATCTTTAGATTTAGGCATGAAACTAATCACTGAAAATAATGATCCTGATATTAGAAAAGCTGTGTATGGATTATTTGGCTCTTTAGCGACTATAACAAAAAAAAATTTAGCACCAGCGCTTCCACAAATTTTAGAGTTTATCTTTAATAGCATTCAAAGTTCTGAAGGAGTTGTGGCTCATCTTAAAGAATTTGAAGACGCAGCTTATCCAATTTACGAAGATCTGAGTGATTCTGAAAACGATGATGAAGAAGATATCGAACATACTGACAATGAAGATGATGGTAATGATGATGATGATGACGATATAGCCGCTTACACACTTGGTGACTCTTACATTGAAGAAAAAGAAGAAGCTATTTTAGCATTACGTGATATAGCTCATTACACTGAAGAAGCTTTTTTACCTTATTTAGAAAAAGCATTCGAAGAAGTATTCAAGCTTGTAAATTACCCTCAAGATGATATTAAAAAAGTATCTATTGATGCTTTAGCTCAGTTTTGTCTAAATTTTTCAAAAATTTATTCAAATGAAGGTAAACAAGCATTATTAAAGGCATTATCTGTTTTCATTCCTAAACTTTCAGAGCTTATTCGTCTGGATGTTGAAGCGGCAGTCGTAATAAGCGGACTCGAGGCTCTTGCCGAACTTTTAAAAGAAATAAAAATTGATGTACTAGTTGGTGAAGGTCACAAAGAGGCTATAATGAATTGTGTGACAGATGTTTTCACTGGTAAAATTGAGTGTCAGGATCAAGAGGATGCAGAAGAAGACGATGAAGCTGAACAGGACGAATTTTTAGTAGAATGTGCTGGTGATGTACTTTCTAATTTCGGAAAAATTATTTCAGCTGAAGAGTTCGCTCACTACTTTCAAACTGTTTTGCCGTTCCTCAAAGAGAGAACAAAGCATGATAAATCTGATCCTCAAAGATCTTTCGCTGTCGGTACAATATCTGAATGTTTAGCTGCCCTTCGACATATGACAGCAAGTTTTGTACCTCAACTTTGGCCATTCTTCAAAAAGCGCATTCAGGATCCAAGTCCAGAAGTGAGAAATAATGCATACTATGGTATAGGAGAACTTGTTCTTTGGGGCAAAGAAGCTGTTCAATGTCATTATAACGAAATTATACTAATAGTTGCTAATGCGCTTCAAACTGAAGAACATCCTGGTCCTAGAGACAATATGGTTGGAATTATTGCTCGGCTTATCATTACGAATTATTCATTAATCAATATTGAAGTCGTCTTTCCTGGTTTTGTACAACAATTGCCCTTAAAAAAAGATTATGAAGAATATTTGTCTGTATTTAAAAGTATATTAACTCTTTATAGAGATAAACATGAAGTTCTTAAACCTCATATCCATACACTTCTAATAATTGCGATTAATGTGCTGTATGAGAAGAAAGCTCCTAATGAAGGTAAATTTATTAAATTTTATGCTTTGTAATGTAAATAGTCATTTTATTGAAACTAACTATTATTTATTATTATTTTTCAGAAACTAAACAAGTTATTTTAGAGTTTATAAAATCTGTCCAACAAGATTTTTCAAATGAGTGGAATGCTGTATTTTCTGAACTGCCACCAGACATGAAACAAATACTTTCGTGTTAAAATAAATGTTAATTTTGAATGATGTAATATAATTTTCAATACCAATACTTACAAAGTTGAAAAAAAAAAAAAAAAAAAAAGTATATAATACTTTATTTATTAGACAATAATTAACACTGGGGTAAGTTACGAAAAATTGAATTTTTCTTTTTTATTATTAAAGTTTATTTTGAAATAGAAATTATCATAGTAATAAAAGTGTAAAGGCGTTTTTCACACCGGGATATAATTTTATCCATGAAAAAATTATTATCGTCAGTACATCTATGAATTAAAATCATGTAGATATATTTTAGCATTGAGTAAAATTTTATCCTGGATTGAAAAATTTGCCGTAAAATTATTCATGCTTAAAAGCGAAGAAGTTTGCATATGAACTAAACATAATTTATATATCAAATAAAAAAAAATTGATATGTGTATGTTATTTTTAATGAATAAAGTTTTGGATTTTTACACTTAATTTTTTGTCATTATAATGAATTTCATTAGTTAACAATAATATAAAATTATAAATAATAAAGTGCATTTATATCATTCAATATTATCAATTTTATCATTTTCAAGCATCAGTTAATCGCATATATATATATATATATTTTAAAATAAAAAAATAACTATTTAACAATTGGATCAAGTATATTATTTTCTTAGTAAGTAAACAAGAAAAATGATCTGACTACGTGATATTTTTTTTCTCTTTTAATCATAACAAAAAAGTTCATAACTAAAAAAAAATGTGATAAGAGATTCCGCAGGATAGCACTTATGATTTCCGTAATACATCGGCTATTTATGATATCAAGTGGTATTGTGATATCATGAGCATTATCAAAAGTATTACTGATAGGTCTAAATGGTCAGTCAATTTTTGTCAGACAAGAAGACTTGCATGTCTGCATTTTAGTTTGACAGTTTCATTTTAATCTCAACAATAAATTGTGTACGACGGGACGGTAAAAGTATCGAAGTTAAAGTGTTTAACTGTGTCGATAATTTATTGAAAATTATATGAATAAGTAGTTAAATTTAACAATTTTTTAATCAAAAATTGTAATAATTTTTGACTCATTAAACAATGAAATATTTTATCAAAGCGTGAATATTTAATTGTTACCAACATTGCATCTATTAATCCTTCAGAGATTTTTTAAAGCTTAAATAAAGCTAACAGATGGATTAATGTTTCTATGATTAATAATTTGAGAGATTTTATTTTCACTGCTTAAAAACTTCTCACAGAATGCAACCGATACTGTGGCGATATGAGAGAAAGTTACACATGAACGTGATGCCGAAACACATTATTATTGCGTTCACCTATCAATCGTCCTTCGCTTGTGCCACTGACTAATATTTATTCTCGATTTTATCTTCATTTATATCACTGAATTTTAATAAGTATTTATTGTAATAAATCATTGATGAGAAAAACTGAACAAATTAATATCTAAATCATTTTTATAAGAAAATAAACTATCTTTATAACTACAATCAATGGTTGAAAGTTAATTTGATGTATTATAGTAATTAATGACATTTTATCCGTGTTTATAGTAAAAATATAACCAGTTAACTTCCGGTTTTATGTTAAGTGACCTATTTCTATTATCTCTACAGACCTCTAAGCTTGAAGTGTTAAACCACTTTTTTACCAGCATAAGTGCTAGTCTGTGATAATAAAAGTGAGTGAATAATGTAATAAAATATAAAATATATATTGTTAATGCAATGAAGAAAAATAAAGCAAATTTATTATTTATAAAACATGCTGCAATAAAAAAAAGATAACAATGAATGAGTATTTATTAAAAGTAACCATAATTTAAAAAGAATCAACATTACTAAAAATATTTGAAGATATGGATGTAGAATTAGTTACAAGAACATCACTTAGTTCCCTCAATAAAATAGACGATGGAAGAATTGTGTCACCGAATAGTCTTGACGAATGGACTTGGTCTAGTCTTCGGGTATGTTTAATTAAGTGAAATATAAAACTTTAAATATTAATCTTGTTCGATTTTAATTATTGTATCATTTAAAAGAATATGGGTAAAGATCAAAAAATTTTTGAGTATACAAAAAAATATTCTTCACTCAAGAAAATATTCATGAAGACAATCATTGTCTTAGCAAGAGTAAAATTTTACTAAGCGAAAATAATTTTTTTAGCTCAAACAAATTTTTTTTCTATATGCGTGCGTGCGTATTTGTCTTTTGTTATTTACGAAGCTGATTATTTTTTTTCATTATCTCCTAAATTATTAGTTAATAATTTATAATGCATCAAACCTAAAAAAGTCTTAATATTTTGACATTTAATTTTTTTGTTCTAATCAAGTGGATATACAAAAATCTAAAATAGTTGTCCTTAAAGAGAATTGAATGCTCTAAAAAAATTTTTATATCAATTTACGATATTATTACTGTATACAAATTATTCATAGTCAAAGATGAGTTCATGGTCGACTTAAAAAATCTTTTATAAAAACTTTCACTAAAAATTTTTAGTTGAAGAGAAAATAATCTTCATGATAAGTTATCCTAAAAGTAATATACGACTAAGTGTTACCTAATTCGATTTGCAAATTGAATACATTGTTTAAATAGAATTATATTTCTACAATATTTAGACAACGATCACTTTTTAATGAATCAATCAATTGCTACCGAGTTTGTAATATTCGACGTAGTTTTATTAAGCCTAGAGCTGTCTGAACTTCAAAATGAGTCAGTAAAATAATTTGGAATCCATGCGTCAAAAATATAAATACTTTCTATTTATAGTGTTTATTCATCAAGTTCTGACCGATTACCTGAAATCTAATCAGATCTAAATCGATAAACTCTTTCAACTACCGTCTACCTGACCTCAATCGATTGATTCATTCCAAAGATATCGTACGATAAATAATTTGCGCATATAATAAATATACCCAACAAATGAATATATATCAGAAAATGTGCGGGACAAATTCCTTGAACCATTAAACGATGAGATCTACAGAGAACTCGGATTTTGAAAGTTGATCCGAAACTAACAATTTATTTATAAGCCAATATTTCAATGAATTTATATACGACTTTTGAGTTTTAAAATTAAAATAATTTTCTTGAAATTTTATATACTCTTCAATTTTTATAAAAATTTTGAACCCGGTTGAAGTTTATGATAACTATTTATTTATAAATCTGAAAATTAACAGGCATCTGAAAATTTTTTGGTTTTTTTAAATAAATAAATTATAATAAAGAAAAGTGCAAAAGTTAGCAGCTTCATAATTCAGCATACCCGCATTTTTCTTAAATGCCTATAAAATTATTATACCAACTACTTATTTTCTAATACTTAGCGCGTCTAAAATACATTTAAAAAGTACTTAATTTTTAATAGTTTCTTTTATCAATAACTTAAAAAAAACATCAATTTACTGAAACGAGACTGCTAATCAAACAGACGTCTAAAAATATGTATCAATAATTTTTTTTAATTTCTGCTAAATTTTTTTTGTTTTTTTGCTAAAAAAATTCTCAAATAATATCAGATATCTATTAATTCTAATATGTTTTTTTTTTCCGTATTTAAAATTCCAAAAATTTTTTTGCTATATTAAATTAATACTATCATCATTTATAATAATAATGTCCTATCGGAAGTATACTTCCTTTTTTTGGTATGCAATCTTTTGCTTGTATTGATACATCAATAATGACACATCCAAAGTTCATCTACTTTACATGTAATAACTAAATGTGTCTTTTTTTGTACATCTGACTATCTGAGCTCATATAACTTGTTCACTTATAAGAAAAACTTTTTTTTTTCAAGAAAAAATTTTTCTCCAATATAGCTTGCATCGCGACTAATGTTTTAACACATACTCATATACAATCAGATGCGCGGAATTATTTCCGGGTATTTATAAATGCAAGATCATACTTGTCATACTTATTGCATCTAATGACAATAACATATATTATACTTTATAACAGATAGTTCATTAACCTTAATCAATTAAATATAATCTTGATGATCTTTTAATTCATAAAACGTGTGTGTTTATATAAATATGAAATATTAAAAAAACTTTTGCTTGCGCTCATCCATCACATATGTACAGTTTACTGTATATTGTAGGTTATAGACATTAAACTGAACCCATCAGACATATTTATATATGATTATATGTATTTTCACTGTCTTATACTGAATACTAGGTACTATACATACATTTAAATACTATGCGAGACATTAATTCTTCCCGGTCGGTGCTGCCTTTGTAGGAATGGAAAAATGAATTTTTGGAAATCTCTAAAAATTAATTTGGAAATTTATAAAAATGTACTTTAATGTTGAAGGAAAAAATTATAAAAGAACTTTCGTAAAATAATAAAAAACTATAAATGGAAACACGTAAATAAAGAAAAGGCTTTTTAGTAAATCTGTAAGTTTGGCCAACTAAAGAAAAATAAATCTCTATTTTTGAAAATTTCTTTTACTGGAAATATTATTATTTGGTATAAATTAAAAAAATCTAAATGAATAAATAAATTTCTGTGTAATTAGAAATTTATCAATTGCAAAAATAATAAAAAAAGTAATTTATATAAATGGATATCTTTTCAATATTCCGTTAAAATAAAATTAATTCTCACCTTATGGAAAATATAATTTTCGAAAAAGCTTACGTTTGTACTATAGTATTTACGGTAATTAAAAAAAAAAAAAATTATTTATTAATAAACATATGAATAGACGTCCGAACGATTTTATGGAATTTTGCAGAAATGGAATTCAATATTTTTAAAAACTTAAAAAAATTGAAATTCACATGAATGGCGATCAATAAAAAGAGAATCGGTAAATATGTGAATCTCTAAAAATGGAAATCTCTCAAAATGTATCTGTAAAAATGGAAATCTCTAAAAATGAAAATCCTTTAAAATAAATAATCATTTTTTTTTATAAGCGAGAATTCCCAATGACTTTGTGAATTTCTTATCCAAAGGGAGGTATCGAGGATACCGGAAGCTCGACTACCAAGACATCTTCTCCGACGAATCTCCTAAAAAACGCTACAATACATTTTATATCATCAGTTATCATGTAGGGAAGATATCTAACAAACTGGAAGCTTCACTACCAAGACATCTTCTCCAACAGTTCTTGCGGAAAACGCTAAAATACATTTTAAATCATCAGTTATCATGTAGTGAGGTATCTAGCAAACTGTCTTGGTAGTGAAGCTTCTAGTTTGCTAGATACCTCACTACATGATAACTGATGATTTAAAATGTATTTTAGCGTTTTCCGCAAGAACTGTCGGAGAAGATGTCTTGGTAGTGAAGCTTCCAGTTTGCTAGATATCTTACCTACATGATAACTGATGATATAAAATAAATTTCAGCGTTTTTTGTGAGATCCGTCGGAGAAGATGTCTTGGTAGTGAAGCTTCCAGTTTGCTAGATATCTTACCTACATGATAACTGATGATATAAAATAAATTTCAGCGTTTTTTGTGAGATCCGTCGGAGAAGATGTCTTGGTAGTGAAGCTTCCAGTTTGCTAGATATCTTACCTACATGATAACTGATGATATAAAATAAATTTCAGCGTTTTTTGTGAGATCCGTCGGAGAAGATGTCTTGGTAGTGAAGCTTCCAGTTTGCTAGATATCTTCCCTACATGATAACTGATGATATAAAATAAATTTCAGCGTTTTTTGTGAGATCCGTCGGAGAAGATGTCTTGGTAGTGAAGCTTCCAGTTTGCTAGATATCTTACCTACATGATAACTGATGATATAAAATGTATTGTAGCGTTTTCCGCGAGAACTGTCGGAGAAGATGTCTTGGTAGTGAAGCTTCCAGTTTGCTAGATATCTTACCTACATGATAACTGATGATATAAAATGTATTGTAGCGTTTTTCGGGAGATTCGTCGGAGAAGATGTCTTGGTAGTCGAGCTTCCGGTATCCTCGATACCTCCCTTTGGATAAGAAATTCACAAAGTCATTGGGAATTCTCGCTTATAAAAAAAATGATTATTTATTTTAAAGGATTTTCATTTTTAGAGATTTCCATTTTTACAGATACATTTTGAGAGATTTCCATTTTTAGAGATTCACCTATTTACCGATTCTCTTTTTATTGATCGCCATTCATGTGAATTTCAATTTTTTTAAGTTTTTAAAAATATTGAATTCCATTTCTGCAAAATTCCATAAAATCGTTCGGACGTCTATTCATATGTTTATTAATAAATAATTTTTTTTTTTTTTTTAATTACCGTAAATACTATAGTACAAACGTAAGCTTTTTCGAAAATTATATTTTCCATAAGGTGAGAATTATTTTTATTTTAACGGAATATTGAAAAGATATCCATTTATATAAATTACTTTTTTTATTAATTTTGCAATTGATAAATTTCTAATTACACAGAAATTTATTTATTTATTTAGATTTTTTTAATTTATACCAAATAATAATATTTCCAGTAAAAGAAATTTTCAAAAATAGAGATTTATTTTTCTTTAGTTGACCAAACTTACAGATTTACTAAAAAGCCTTTTCTTTATTTACGTGTTTCCATTTATAGTTTTTTATTATTTTACGAAAGTTCTTTTATAATTTTTTCCTTCAACATTAAAGTAAATTTTTATAAATTTCCAAATTAATTTTTAGAGATTTCCAAAAATTCATTTTTCCATTCCTACAAAGGCAGCACTGACCGGGAAGAATTAATGTCTCGCATAGTATATGGCAGGTAATGTATATTTACAATCTCAGTTGAATAATGAACGTCGTGGTATTGTTTACGTGTAAGTACTGTGTATATATAACAGTTGAAATTCTGCCTTATAGTCCTGGAGTCTTTTATCATAATTGTTGTTAGATTTAAATAAAAATAACTGAAAAAATATTTAAAATTCTCTAAAGTTAGTATTTTTATTATATACAGTCAACTAAGAAGCTCGTATCATGACCTCTCTTATGTCTAATAAATTATTTTCTTAATGATGAACAGTCGACCGGTAAATTATATGTAATTCTAAAAAATTTTTTCACTTTCGACAATGAGTAACACCCGTGAGTTAGTATTAAAAATAAAATAAATGATTTGGGATAATTTATTTTCTTATTTGTATCAACCACGTGGTTATATCGGTAAAAACATTTTTAATTTTTTTATTTTACATATTCATTTTAGTACTTAAATATAAGAGGGAAAAACCTCTTGATTATTTTTCTTATACAGTTTATGTTTACATTTGAATCAGATGTTTCTCAATTTTAGTAAAAATATCATTCCACTGCTGTTTTTAATCAAACTTTTTATAACTTAAAAAAAAAAAAATAAATAAACTTTTTTTTCTAACGACGCAAATTATAACATAAGCAAATTAATTTTAATTCGCGTAAGTTTTATTCTTGGTCGAAATTATTTTGAATCATTCAACATTCAACATATATGTTATTACACCTCGAGTTTTTTATTAGCACTTTAATGATAATAAAATTAACTAATACTAAATGTATATAAAAAAAATTATTTACTGATGACATAGCTATTATTTTATTGTTAATGGATCTGAAAGGAATGAGAAATTATTAACCTGCTAGCTATTACACTAATTATAACTTCTATTTATTTATTTGGATATAATTGGAAATTCTTTTTCTAATTTCAGAAACAATTTAAGTACAAGAACCTTGACAAATTATACTCAATTTATCAACGACGATTACAGAATGGTTATTTGTCACTTTTCGGTTTGGTGCAACTGGTGCTTGGAATTGCACACTGTAGTGTTTTGGTAATGACGGTAAGTTTATTGCTACCAAAATTTTGTTTTGATTAACTTAGATTCATAGGATTAGTAATGGCTATTTACTAAAATACTTAAGTTTATATTAATTTTACAGGTCGAAATAAATGCGTCTTTACCAGACGTCATGACGTGGAGCATAATGGGAGCTTTTCTCTGTCCAGTGATAGCATTGTCATTCAGATCTAAGCTTGTCGCTCGAGAAACTTATATTCCTGTAATACTATCCTGTGTTATTGTTGTAATACTTGTTCTCGGTGATTTGGCTGTGCCGTTCTGGTACACATTTTCTTACAGTGAAGACATGCCTACAATAAGGTAAATTAATTTAGAAAATATTAATTTTAGAAGTTTAAGTTGAAATTTTTTTTTTCAATTGAGAAACAGTTCTGGAATTTTTAAAATATCATACAGTGTATCCCATCATTGTGAAATTGAAATAAAAAATTCACATAACAAATCAATTAAAATGAAAAATTATTCATTTGTGCAACTAATAACGATATTTAAAGAAAGTTATCGAATTATCGCTTTTCAATAATTTGCAACTAAGTAATATTCAAAGATTTTGAATGAGAATTTTCGACATTCGATTATTTGTTCGAAACTTCAGATAACTATCATCAATTACCATTGATCCAAATTTACGATCGATCAATAAATCTATTTTTGGAATATTAGTGACAAATACTTTTTAAAATTTTTTAATTATTTTATCACTAGTTAGATGAGAGAGAAAGAACTATTTTGCTTGAAAAAGATCAAACTTTCAGAATTTTACTTTTCCTAATCATTTTTTAGAAGATTTATTTATTACTTTCTACTTTTAAAACCCTCAATGAAAATCATCAATTAAAAATTTTTTTCTAAAACGTTAGACTTACAATTTTAAATATTAAATACTTTTCAAGTCGGATGACATCTTTTTAAAAATTTCTTTTGATAAATGCTTGTCATTTGTAATTTTCAAAAATAAAAAGTTATTATTACAAAAATGTAAATATGTAATCTATAAAGCACGTTTTAAAGTAAAGTTTAAGCTGTAATGCCTCATAACTCTAAAAGATCTAGTTTTTAATTTTTAGACCTGCATATTCTACACATGTTCTGTTGGCTTGTTACGTCTTTTTACCACTCACAGAAAATCTTCATGCTTTCATTCTTGGAGTTACAGCGACTTTATGTTATTTAACAAGCCTATCATTAATTACTTATCGAAATCAAAAAGATTATACAACGAAGGTAATGAACATTATCTTATTCTCATACCGACTTTAAGGACTTATAAAGAGAAATGCATTTATTTTTATAATTTTTTAAATCTTTTTCTAGATCATTGCCGATACTATTTATTTTGCGTGTGTTAATGGTCTTGGACTTTACTTCAGATTTATGAATGAAATTGTCATTCGAAAATCATTTTTAGATCGACGAAAATGCGTTGAATCTACTTTAAGATTAAATTATGAAAAAGATCAAGAAGTAAGTAGGATTTAGAATTTTATCATTAAATAATACTAAAAAATAAAAATACAATTGTTTTAGTAGATGATATTTAAAAGTACAAATGAAATAATATCTTTAATTTACTTATATGAATTTCGAACTTTTTTTGTTTTTAGAATAAGTTGAATCTTTAAGAATTTTATTGAATGTATTATACGCAACAGTAATTATCTTTCATATCGATAAACTTTTAAATATTTTTACTAACAATATCAATTTATTAAATGTTCTTACAAACAGGAACAACTTACCAGAAGTATTCTACCTCAACATTTTGCAGCTAAAATTAAAAAAGACTTTAGAGACATTTTTAAATTCATTGAAGAACATAAGAAACCACCACCTAAAGGTCGCCGACGCAAGTAAATTATTTTTAAATAATTTGGAAAGGTAACAATTGCCTACAGTTTTGACAAATTTCTTCATTACTTACATAAGTTGAATAATTACTAAAATAACATCAAATCTAAAAATATGGTATCCGCATGAATATAACTATCAGTCTATTAGTTACTGTTTAATGTTTGGCCAATGTAGTCTAAATTACTGCCAACTCAAAATCAATTCTGTAATTGTTAACTAAGTTTTAATACAAGTCACTATAGTTACTTTACTATGGATATTTATTTAATTAAGGTGTACGAGATTAAATTCATGTAGATTTCTAAAAAAGATTTTTATTCAGTATAATAGTTAACAGAGCTTTTTAATAAAACCGGAGGAGTTAATAGTCCTAATTTAAAATTTTTAATAATCAGCGAAACATTTGAAGTCATTATTTATCAAGAGTAAAATCTTATAAATTTCAAGCTCTAAAATCTTTCATTTTTATTTTTAATCTTTGATTATTTCCATAAAAAATGGCTCGACAATAATTCAGAGAAATCTTTAACAAGTTTAAAGCACTCTGTTTTTTATAACAAATACTATGTAAGTAATCGATCAAAACGTAAAAAACTGATAGGCAACAATATTTTTCCAATAACTTGTAAATTATTATAGAATAAAATTTAATTATATTATATGAATGAATTATCTGTTACAGTGATTTATACGTAGAAACGCACAACAATGTTAGCATTTTATATGCTGATGTAGTCAATTTTTCTGGGTTAACAGTAACATTACCTGTAAAAAAACTCGTTGAAACTTTAAACGATCTCTTCGGCAGCTTTGACGAAGCTTCAGAACGCCACAATGTGTTAAGAATAAAGTTTTTAGGTGATTGTTATTATTGTGTAAGTGGAGTCCCAACACCGAACGCTCAGCACGCAAAAAGTTGCGTCGATCTTGGTAAAAAAAAAAAAAAATTATAATAAATGATTAAAAAACCTTGTTTTTAAAATTTTTTTTTTTTATTTTAATAAATAATCATTATTTTTATAGGTCTAGATATGATAAAAATAATAAAAGATGTCCGTGGAAGAGTACGAAGAGAAAGCGGAGTTGAGATTAATATGAGAATAGGCGTTCACTCAGGAAAAATAATATCAGGAATTTTAGGAGCCAATAAATGGCAGTATGATGTTTGGTCTAAAGACGTAGTAATAGCTAATAAAATGGAGCAAACTGGTCAGCCAGGAAAAGTACACATAACACAACAGACATTAAATCTTCTTGACGTTAAACAGTACCATTGTGTACCTGTGGAAAATCTTAATGACGAAACTCTTAACAAGTACAATATTAAGAGTTATTTAATTACTCCTGATATATCAGAGCCGACAGTTCAACAGGTGCTTATAAATGAAATAAATTTTTTTTTTAATTTTTAAATCAGCTTTATTGAATTAACAGAATTATTTTTTTTTTGCATTTATGACTAGAATTACAAACAAACCTTGTTGCAGAACAGCGAGAAAATCTTCCCACTTTCAACACCCAGTACTCCACCGCCTATAAGTAAACATTACGTCCGATGGTACAGCGGAAGACCAAGTACAAATGTTGGAGCATCACGAAGCTCACGAAGATTAACTTCAACAATGAACAATCATGCTGATGTATTTGCTGGAACATTTAGACGGCGAACACATTTCATGGATTCGTGTTTGAAAGATTATCATCTGATGTTGAAAGCTGCTGATGCAGAGATGGAAAATGCAATAAAACAAATGCCTCTTAATAAATGGGAGTAAGTGATTTTATTATAAATGTTTAATAACGATAATCATAAATAATAACTCTGTCATTAAAATATTTAACAGGCAGTGGTCTAAATGGGAATCAATAAATCCCATCTTTCTTACATTTTCACATTTAAATTGGGAGATTCCATTTCTTCGAGAACCAGATCCTTTGTTTAAGTTTTTTGTAGGGTGTGCAGTGATAGTATTACTTTTTATGGGATTTATGCTTCTTGTACCAGCAATTAACTTCTCTGAGTATGTTTATTATTTGGTGATAAATTTTATAAGTAGCATTTTTTTAAATTTTATTAAATAATTTTTAGGTGGCATCGTAACACAACTCTTGGGTATATTTTTGTTCTCTTATTTCTGATTGCTCTTTTACCGTTTACATGGACGCATTTTATATGGAATCGATGTCAAGATCCTCATGATGAACAAGATGGACATATTCCACAGCCTAGAAATAAATTAATCCATTTCATGTACCAAACAAGTATTAAAGTTGTTTGGAGTGCAATTCTTAGAACTGTTTTATATCTTGCTATTACTATAATGCTTGCAACTTGTGCTATGTTTGATATGTTGGTAAGATTTCAATATTTTTTTATTTTTTTCATAACCAGAATTATTTTTATTTAAATAAGTTTTTATTTTCAATTGCAGTTTGAGTGTGAAAATGCTCATCTATCAAAAAATAATGTAACTTCCTTTGCTGTAAATGACGATACAGATCTTAAATGTATTTCTTCACCATGGGTAAGATTGTATTACTTTATTACTATTGTTAAACATTGGAATAATAAATAATAAAAATTTTTTTTGTTTAAGCATTTGTCCGAAACATGTTCGTTGGCCATTCTTACAAGCTTTCTTTTTCTTCGAGTACACTTTTTTTTGAAGCTTATCATAGGATTTGGAATTGTTGGTTTTTACACCTGGAATATTACTGAACATCGTTCGTCCATCTTCCAGACTGGGGAATCGTGGCATCCTCATTTAGAACCAAGACTTGCACATATTCTAAATGTTGCATTTCTTACTTTTTCTCTTCATCTTATTGATCGTCAGGTAACGGCTTATTTTTTTTTTTCTTTACTTAGTTGACTTGAATCAATTTTAAGCATTATTAGAGCTTTAAATATTTGAAATAATATGGATTTTTTTTTTTTTAAATCAACAACTATTAAAAATAATATAATTTCATTAAATCTCGACCGTGTATTTTTAGTACAATTGTCATTACTAATTTTTCTTTACAATTATAAATAATTGTGATTAATCGAATTATGATATTTTATTTTTTAATTGATGTTAAGTTCGACGAAAATATTATAGCTAAAAATTAAACATTGATATTTGTTATTTAAAAAAAAAAAAATAGTTATGATATTTTTCAAAATTTCGTTTTTCTTTTAATCGCTCTAATATATATATGTATATACATTAACGATAATTATAATTATTATTATTGTTTATTTATTTTTTTTAAAGGCAGAGTATCTAAGTCGATTAGACTATCAATGGAAACGTCAATTGACTCAAGAACAAGACGAGGCTTTTCATACAAGAAATGCTAATAAATTACTACTTCGTAACATTTTACCCGAACATGTTGCAGATTTTTACTTAAATATGAACAGATCTGAAGAAAATGAATTATATCACGAGTCACATGATTTAATAGCCGTCATGTTTGCTTCTTTAACTAATTTATCAATCGATGAAAGTAACATTTTAATAGACCTAAATGAAATAATTTGTGAATTTGATAAATTGTTATTTGAGCCTGGATTTATATGTCGTGTAGAGAAAATTAAAATCGCTGGTACAACATACATGGCAGCATGTGGTTTAGAAGCACGAAGACGTGATTCAATAGAAAGTACTGGTGATGACGAACATGGTGATAATTATGTAGTAAAGGTAATGGCTGAATTTGCAGTAAGGATGATAGAAGTATTGGATCGATTGAATTCTAATACATTTTGCAAAAGCTTAAAACCTTACAAATTACGTATTGGTATATCACACGGAGAAGTTACAGCAGGTGTTGTGGGAGCACAAAAACCACTTTATGATATTTGGGGTGATGCTGTCAATATGGCTTCGCGAATGGATACTACCGGTGTTCCTGGTAAAATCCAAGTCACGACAGAAACTGCTAATGTTCTAGAACAAAATGGGATAAAATGTTACTTACGTGGTGAAACGTGGGTAAAACCTAAGGGATTTGTAACTACTTATTTTATAGGTGTTGATAAAAATCGACGGCTCATAAATACTGATATTCTCGAGGAAACGAATCTCTGATCTTTAATAGATCATTTTGTTCTAAGTGAGAGAATGCGATTAGGTTTGAAATTAAATTTTAACAAATTCGAAAATTGAGATACTTGATTGCCATTCTCTCTTTGATCTTCCTTTATAAAATGATTGGATTAATGAAAAATAGAAAAAAAAAAAAAAAAAAAAGAATAGCTAATTTTTTCAATTAACCAAAGAAATATTAGATCAATTTATGTACTGTGTAGAGTATAAAAATTTTCAGCGATTGCATAAATGTCTAGTACAATTATTTAATTTAAATTTTAACTTTAAACTTGACAACTATTGTAGAGACATGAATTCGTGAAGAAATGAATTCCAAAATGTTTATCAATTCATGATAAATATATTTTAATAATTTATCTTGCAGATGGATTATTCAGAAAACATATCAATTAACATCCAAAAGATAGTTGAATGATGTCAACTTATTGATAATAAAAAAAAAAAAAAAAAATGTAACATATTATTTTTATTCAACGCAATATAATATAATAATAGTATATTATAATAATCTTCCATGTCCATCGAGAATGAAAAAAATTTTGTCATAATAATATAATTGACTTTTTTTAATGAATTCAAATAATATAATACATGATAATTTTGTCATACAACTAATTTAAATTGTCAATTATCTACATTTTGTTGAAAAATGATGAATTATAGTTTAAGATACCCAGAAGTAATTTTTTGGGTATTTCGATATTTTATTTGTAAATAATTCTGTACATTTTCGCTAACTATAACTATTAAAGAAATTGAAATTTATTGTAATAAATAATAACTTATAAATTTTTAAAACATAATATTTAAATAATTAATAAATGACTGAATAATATTAATTAAACAAATCTTTAATTATGTACATATTTATAATGCAAAAATTAATGTCTTGAATCAGTGAAGTGGTGTAGTTGAAATACAGAAAAGTGAAAAGTGTGTAAATAAATTATTAATCTCAATAATTTGGGTCAAGTTTATGTAAAATAAATGTACCGATTATCGACACTATAAAAGATATGGCTAAGATTAATATTTTTTAAACACTTTTACAGTTAAGGTTGTTGATTTATTTTTAACAATGTATTATTTAGTTTTTTGATTAGTGAATTCATATTTGTTTTTTTATAGTAGTATTTCAAATTTAATAATTAATTTCAACTGATAGTTATTAACCTGGATTCACTAATTATTGACATAGAAAATTATCTGATCTAATTAGTGACATGCTGTTGTACCGATTATTCTTACCCATAATGCATATAAGTCATTGTTATTAATCTATTCATCAAAATACAATAAGTCAAGTATATATAAAAATATTTAATATAATCGGATTAAATACTTCATTTATTATTAAGAAAAAATTTGATTTGAATAGATGAAAAACGTGATTTAAAATGAGCTTTTTAAATTAATTATCTAATGAAAATAGTTAAAGAATTTTAGGCTCACGAGCTGTTTTAATAGACTCGAGCAAACTTTTCTTTTTCAATGATAGATATTTGATATGATTCTGAATAAATAAATAAATAAAAATTAATTTATAAATCTATTTAGAATAAATTAAAAATGTATCGCATGCGTTTAAATAAACGCGCACTTTGTTAAAACACGAATAGAACGCCACCAAGTTCTCTTTGGTCGAATTCAGAACTAGTAAGATAACACAACAAGATATTACAATATATACTCTATAAACTATAAACGGAGGCGAGACGAGAGAATGACAGCTCTCATGTAAATTTTCAATGACCATTTCTCATCGATTATATTGTAATAATTTTAATAATTCATTGTCAATTAAAAGTGATTAACATCGTCCGAACATTTTACAAGTGTAGCAAATATTAATCGAATATTTGCATTACAGTTTATTTTAAATAACGATTATATAGTTTGTTTGTGACTCACCTTGCATCACGTTTGATAAGTTCTTTGACAGTATGTGACGTATTAACTACAAATCTTATTTTGCTATTTTTTTTTAATACTGTAAATTCTAAAATTAAATTCAATAATTTTTTTAATTTACAGAATCTTAAAAATTATTGTGATTTTATGGATTAATCTTGATGAATGTGCTTAATGTTGATATAAAATGGCATTTAAAAATAAAATATTTTTGATTGTCAATTAATTAATTATGCGAATCAAGGAATTAAGTTCATAAGGATAAAAAAAAGATCAATTACTGAGACTGAGCTCTTTATTTTACAGGTTAAATTGAACAAAAGTAAAGTGTAAAAATGGATATTGGATTTTCTTCATATCACAATGGTGGGCCAGTAAGAGAGCAAGATTTTGAAAGACTTTCACAAACAGTTGGGACATCAATCCGTAAAATTTCTCAAAATGGTAATATTTTTTTTTTTTTTTTTACAATTTAGCAAATTTATTTAATATCTGTCATTTTTTTTTATTAGTGTCATCAATGCAAAAGATGGTCAACCAGTTGGGAGGATCGACAGATTCACAGGAGCTTCGAAATCAACTGTAATTATCCAATCATTGTAGAGTGAAAAAATCAATATAAATGAAGGGAAATAGTATATTATTCACATAGGACAGGAAAGTAAGAAATGTCTCAGATCACATGCAATTGTTGGCCGAGGTCGAGAAACATGTGATCTGAAACATTTCTTACTTTCCTGCCCTAGGTGTGTAAATATACTATATTGTAATTACACTTACTAAAACTGTCATGACTGGACTCTGTCTCTGAATTCTTTTTAAATATTTTCAATAGAGTTTGCTGATACCATTTTTTATCGATACCGATTTTATTACTTTGTAATTTTAATCTGCTTTATATTATGATATACCATTTATAAATTTTTTAAATCAAACTTCTATCTTTAATAGAGAATTTTTTTATAAGCTAGTTTAACAAATGATAATAATAATAATAATAATTTCAATTACAATTTTAGGCATCAAATTCAACATTACACACAGCAACTGGCTAAAGACACGAATGTACATCTAAGAGATCTGGCAGCGATTGTCAGTAATTCATCATCAAATAGTCCTGGAGATCAAACGCGTCGAAAAATGCGTATGCAAACAGAAAGGCTCCAAGACGAATTTATGTCTGCTTTAAACAGCTTTCAAAGTGTTCAGAGACAAGCAGCAGCCAAAGAAAAAGAAATGGTTCGAAAAGCTAAAGTTAGTGCTGGTGTTGTACCATTTGGCGAGAAAAAACAAGAAACATTAATTGAGTTACAAGATAGCAGAACACAAAAACAGATACAACAACAGAATTTACAAGATGAACAAAATTTACGTATGCTTGAAGAACAAGAAGCCAGTATACGTCAACTTGAGGTAGATTTATTCATTCATATTTTGCTCTCTATATCTTTACTAATTCTTTATTGTTAAGTATATATGGCGTATATGTATCCCCAAAAAAGTTAATGGGTATATAACGTATATCTTCAAAAATTTTTCAATTTCGATTTTATCATTTAGTTAAGTGTAGGCATGTAACCACATGAAAATCATGTTGCTGTCACATGAAAGTCATGTATCTTCCACAGGAATGTATCATGTGGTAGCCCCAATGATTCCTATAGCATTATGGGAACCATTTCCATAATGGTATAGGAATAGTTCCCATAATTTTCTTTCCGTGTACAATGAAAATAAATCAAGCACATTCAACATATTTACTTTAAATTAAAGTATCCATAAACTTAACATATAATTGACATTTAAAAAGTTTACATATATATGAATAATTTTTTACTCTATCACATTTAATCTGTTATCACATATTATGTAAGTATTTAAGACAATAAAGCAAAATAAACGTACGGTCATTCACTGGTAGTAGCAAATATCGAACTTACCAATAAATGGTTAGTCAGTCATTTACTAGCAAATCACGATTATCAAATAAGCCAGTGAATGACCGACGCCAAATTAATATAAATAAATTATTAAGTTAAATTATATCCATCATAGGTCAATTTTAATATTAGTTTATCTACACAAATGTCTATAAATTTTGTATTTTGGACAAAAAGTAATTATTTATAACTAAAATTCATAGTTTTCTAAGCAGCCGTCTTCACAAAGTTTTTTCAAAATTTTATAGTTTTCTAAAAGTTCTCGGATTCTCGATACAATTTTTATGAATTTTGAAAATACACTTTTAAATTATTTTAATTCGTGGAGATTAAATATTGAAAAATATATGTAAGATTACAATTATGATTGAGCATTGACAGTTAACTAAATTTTTGGATTTTTATAATCATTATTTTCATTACCGGTCATTCATTGGCGGGCAGTCACGGACTGGACGGTTTACCTTACATTTAATTGAAAGAACTTTTCTGTTGAATAATGTCAATTCAAAGGAGATTTTATGCTTTTAATGTGTAATAATCATCTGATTGACCAACAAATCATTATCAGCTGTCATATTAACTTTACTTACGCATCTATTAAAATTTTTTTTTTTTTGATACTGTAGTCAATTTTATTACATTCAATTTTATCTAAGTCACTGCATTTCACATAAATCCACTTACTGCATTCACTACATAATATACGTGAGGTATTGTTATGCATCGCAAACATGCGGTATATAATAATGGCGTTATAATGTTTCTGCTCAGTATTTATTTATTTATTATCAATTATCTTTTAACTGTTAAAAAATAAATAATTAACTTTGGATTTCAAATTAATAATTTTTTACACACACACACACACACAAATGATAACAATTTAAATATTATTTTTTCCAGAGTGATATTAGTGATGTAAATCAAATATTCAAAGACTTGGGAGCTCTGGTACATGATCAAGGGGTTGTAATTGATTCAATCGAAGCATCAGTAGAAAGAACAGAAGTATTTGTGCATGAAGGCGCCCAACAATTGAGGACAGCAGCAACTTATCAAAATAAGTTGCGGAAAAAGAAGTGTATATTAGTAATAATTGGGGCTGTGGCTGTTTCTATTTTGATTGGAATAATTGTTTGGCAAACATCTTAAGATTTACTATTATTTTACTTTGGTACTTCAAAAATGCATAAAATAGTCAGTGTGTCTGAAATTAATTTTTTCATTTAAAAAAAAAATAAAAAGTAACTTTTTATATTAAATTTATTCCGTAATTCGTTCAAGCGAACTTTGTACAAAAAATCAATGGAAAAAGATAAAAAACAATATCTTTTGATTTTCGATTTTGTTTTATAATATATATATATATATATATAATTTTATTTTTATTTCATTTTAATGAACCGAAGAAAATTGTTTGAATTTGTAGTTTTGAAATAGTCAACATTTTTATTGACAATTACAAGGTATTGATGACTCTGTAATCGATTGAAAATCATTTAGTATTTTGTATGTGTATTATAATCAATAATTATTGTTCAATTATGTCAAGTTTAATTATGAATTTTTCCTAAAGGATCTTTAACTTTTATTAATGAGAAATCGCAAAATAAGCATTATTTAACGTTTTTGAATTATTTCAAAAGATTATATTAGGAAAATTAATTTTCATCGCCAACTAATTATAATATCAATATAATTACACCAATTAAGTAAAAACTAAATTAAATTTTTGGACACTTCTATTCGTACGTAAAAAAGCCTTGATACTTTATATAAAGCTCTCATATTAACGTGGTACAACTGAAAAGCTCTACTATTCAAACAGTGTGGCTTTATCAGAAATTTTTTATCTATGAATAGCCCCATCTTAGATATATATTGTCTTTTTCAAATCAATTGCCTAGATCATTGACTAATTCGAGAGAATTTTTGATCGAAAATTCAAAGTATTTTTCATTAACTTGTGACGAAGGAAACTAAATATTATTGTATGCATTTATCTTTCATTTGAAGAAAGAGAATTTTTTCGTGAACCATACCTAATCAAATTACGGAATATTAATTTTAACTTATCAAAAATAAGCAATCCTTTTTTGAGTATGTTTTCTAAATTGTAATAAAAAAAATCAAAGTAATGAATGTCATAAAAAGAATAATTTTTTCTGAACTTATTTCTAATCTCTACATTTATAAATAATGCTCAATTTTGATTATTCAAAACAATAGTAAGCAATCAATGATTTGCAATTGTGTAATACCAATATAATTCATCGTTTTTGTCAAGAATTTATATTCTAAATCTTCTACTGAAATGACAATATGCTAATTTGTCATGTTTTAAGAGCCATTCCTAAAAATGAACTATATTGGATAATTTTAAGGATTCACTCAAAACATCTAAAGGATAGTGCTAAAATAAATCGTTGTATATTTCTATTGATTTTTTGTACAAAAAGAGAAAAGTATGTATGATATGTTCACTCGATATAATATTGCCCATATTACAGTAGATGCTAATGCGATTTATATTAATAATATGATAATTGTTATTGTTATTACTAATAATAGGATATTTAATGTGGCATTCAATGAATTAATAAATTTTTATTTCTACAATGGAAATATAACGTATTTAAAAATATACGTATACAAAAATTAATATATTTGTATTTGTGATGTAAGTGAAAAATTAATGATTGGTTTTTCTAAATTATTTTATAGTATGTACAGATATATTTTATCTCTGATGAGAATCATTCCGAAATATGTTTATTTTATAATCTGTATTCTTCAATGAAAAAAGAGTAACTCTAAAACTGTAAGTAATTCCATTAGAAGTCATTGTAATCTTATGTATTATAATTAAAAATGTTAATTTATTTTAAAAAATGTAATGAAATCAACTAAAAATGAACAAATAACTGATAATTTACATTTTGCCATTTATTTCATAATAATACGAACAATTTAGATTGTACAGAAAAATAAAAGAAACAAACGGATTTTTTAAAATTAATTTTCTTAATCTTTTAGCTATTGATTATGGTTGGTTATACGCTTTTACACTTAAAAAAATTTGCGGGGTGAAGTGGATTGAAGCGGAGCGGAGCAGATGATTTTCGGTTGACTTAGCTCATCCAGGAGTATAACATTCGCTCCGAGATGGATTCAATTTACACGATTAAGTAATTTACTCCGCGAAGTGTATTTTTTATTTTATTTCCTTGATTGAAAGTAAAAAAATAGTTGTTACTCATTTAAAAATAATAAAATGCGTATTTACAGATTATTAAAAATAAAAATTAATATAACCTTCTTGAGTATCTGTCAAAATATGATTTTTTTTAATTATTATTTTGTTTAATTTTAATTTTTGTAGATTGATGAAAAAGTGTTTTAAGTGCGGGGAATTTGGGCTTATAGCCTCTGAGTGTTTTGTCTGATTAAATTGTTATCAGGTTGAACTATCGTTCGGTTGAATCAAATCGGTCAAACTTCTCAAAAAAGTTATATGCAGTTTATATACGGCCACACACACACACACACACACACGCGCGCATACAGACACCATCGCGAGAATAGTCAGGGAAGCTTCCTTTTCCTAGGACCTCAAAATGTCAAGATTTGATGAAAACTCGATTTTCCAAAAGCGGGGTAAAAACAATAAATTCTCAATTCTTGAAAATCTTCGATTTTCTTAACGGGAAGTAAAAATTTTGCATATATGCAATATTCCAAAAAACATTCCTGCAACATTGACATTTGCCTGTAATAATATAGTAATATTCCGACAACATTCCAGCAATATTTTGTGCTTTAAGGTTTAGTTCATAACATCAGATATGATCATGTCTGTTTATGCTCGCAGTCTCAATATGAACCAACATATCAGGCCTGATCAGACCTGGAGGTTTTAAACTTTTCAGGCTGGATCAGATATGAACAGGCCTGGTCACCCTCGCGGTTTTGGAATTACTTGTAAATCATGGTGAAATTCCGGTGGGATCATAGTGGAAAGATAGTGAAATCATGGTAAAATGACAGTGAAATCACTGTGATTTTGTCCCATTCGCTCACTGTAATTTTATTATCATCCAACAGTGATTTTATGATGATTTCACCATCGATTTATAGTAGGGTCACAATAGTATTACGGTTAATTTACAGTAGTATTGCTGTGAGTTGACAATGATATTACTGTGTGTTTACAGTGATTTCACCATCAGTTTATCCTGGATCTGCAGTGTTTCAGTTATGCTTTTTCGGTAATAATACCGTGATTTTATAGTGATTTCACATCAGTTTTACTATAGAATTTTTGTGAAATCACAATAATATTGCTGTGAGTTGACTGTATTATTACTGTGATTTCTTGATCATTTTGGGCTAAGATCTTAACCATTTTGGACGAGATTTTGGGCTAATATTGAGATTCGATATTAATTTGTTTAAATATAATTGTCACAACATTAATAAAAATAATAATAATAACAACAGTATTTGCCATAATAACAATAATGATTGTTTATTTAAGCACCGCAGTACAAATGCCTCTTAACATCAGACAAAATGCAAATACAAAAAGCAATACAGAATTTTTGTAATTTTGAAGAAATTATTATTAATTCCCTTAGTGCAGCAAATAATAAAAATAACATAAAATAATTATATCAAATATAGTTAATAATTAATTGAAATCGAATTTATAATATAAAATATGAAAAGAAAATAACTTTTATTGGAATTTTTCAATTTTAAGATGTCAAATTTTTGTATCACTTTTCAAACGTAAAAATTTTTAATTTCCATAGTCTCTTATATTATTAATAATAATTATATTTTTTAGATTTATTCAGCTAACTGGCTATCCAGTCTAATGCAACAAATTATTCTTTCTAAAATTTTTAACTTTATATTGTTAGCCTGTATTTCCCTCCAGACATAAACAATAATTTAGTCACCATTTGTAACTAAATTTGTCATTAAAGATTAATTTGACGGAAAAAATAATTCAGACGGCCCAGATTTATCATTAATGACAAATTTTGATACGAATGATGACTAAATTGTTTATGCCTGGAGGGAATACAGGCTAACGATATAAAGTTAAAAATTTTTGAGAGAATAATTTGTTGCATTAGACTGAATAGCCAATTAACTGAAAAAATTTTTAAAGTATTATAAACCAGTCTTTAGGATAAATTAAATATTTAATAATAATAATAATCATCGTTTATTTAATGCTTTAGCGTTAGCTATTCCTGTTAAAATACATATTAAAAGAATTTACAATTAAAATACATATACAAATATAATTCTGATATGATAATTTTTAAATATCAACGTCTTTTTTTATAAATTCACTCAGTGCTCGTTTGAAACTTACAATTGTATTATGATTTTTGATTTCCTCAGGCAACTCATTATACCATTCACAACCCTTATAAATAATTGATTTTTGAGCCGTAACAGTCCTTGTATTTTTAATATTAATTAAATTACCATTTCGAGTATTATATTGGCTACGTTGATTATTTAGAACAATGCGCTCACACAAATTATTGGGCAAAAAGTTGTTGATCATTTTGTAAATTAATAGGCAAGAATTAAATACCATTCGTTGACGAATGGACATCCAACCAAGTGCTTTTAACATATCAACTATTGGAGTGTAACCATTGACACCCAATACTATGCGCATTGCGCGATTTTGTAATTTTTGTAAGACATTTAGTTTTTGTTCATTATAATTTAACATAACTGTACTACAATACTCAAAGTGGGGTGCGACAATAGTTTTATAGATGATATTTTTTATGTAATTACTGACGTTATGATTCAATCTATATAACACATTTACTTTTTTTGCTACTTTCTTAGCTACATAGTTTGCGTTGTTGTCAAATGTTAGATTATTATCTATAATTACGCCGAGATATTTAGTTTCGGATACTTCTTTTACAATATTACCCTTTATATATATCTTACACTGTCCTATAACATTTTTTAATCTACGGTCATGCACAATCATAAAGACAGTTTTGTCGCTATTAATTTTCATTTGATTTTCATTTAACCACTCTAACAGCAGTTTACTCAACGCTTCATTTAATATCCTTTCTATCAGACCTATGTTATTTCCATTAATA